CTCTTCCCCCTCCTCCTCGACCCTCTTCTCATCCGCCTCCTCCTCCTCCTCCTCGACCCTGTTCCTCCTTCTCCTCCTCGACCCTCTCCTCCTCCATGCCTCCTCCTTAGTGACAACTTCTCCCTGTCGCACCCCGAATCCAGTCTTTAGGGCGGTCTGGGCGCTTGGCCTGAGACTTCCTCACCGCATATGACACTGACAATTAAACATTGGCAACGGCGCCACATATGGAGGGCGGGTGGCTTTCAACATGTGGCTCTCGCCTTAGCGCCGCGCACACTCGGCCTGAAACAAGCAAGATATTCGCGAATTGAGGGCGGTTCCTTTTCAACATGTGGTTCTCGCCTCAGCGCCGCGCACATTCGCTATGTCACATGCAAGAGTTTCGCGAATTGAGGGCGGTTCCTTTTCAGCATGTGGTTCTCGCCTCAGCGCCGCGCACAATCCTTTTAAACACTTGCAAGAGTTTCACGGAGTGAAGGCGGCTCCATTTCAATATGTGGCTCTCGCCCTAGCGCCGCGCACATTCGTTCTGAAACATGCAAACAACGGGTTGAGGGCGGTTCCTTTTCAACATGTGGATCTCGCCTTAGCGCCACGCACATTCGTTATACCAATTTCCAAAAGTTTCAAGGATTCAAGGCGGGTGGTTTTCAATATGTGGCTCCGCCTTAGCGCCGTGCACATTCGTTCTTACACATGCAAGAGTTTCGCAGCTTGAGGGCGGATGGAGTGGCTCTCGCCTTGGCGACGCGCGCATTCGTTTAATGCAAGGGTTTCACGGATTGAGGGCGGTTCCTTTTCAATATGTGCCTCGCAATAGCGCCGCGCACATTCGCTTGTACAACTTGCATCGCTTCACGGCTTCCCATGATCAAGTGTTTTGGAAGGGTTCAGGAGAATGAAGGCGCAACAATTAGGTTGATTCGCGGTGTTGGAATGCCAGGAATGGCGTTCTGGTGCGATGACCATCAAGACGCAACAGTCAGGTTGATCCGTGGAGTGGGAATCCCGAGAACCATGCTTTGGCATGCTTCAGGATCTTCGAACGGTTGTCTTCCAACGATGCAGTTCCTTCAGCGGGAATGAACCATTGTAGGGGCCTATGGAGAGGGAGCTTGGAGGGAGGGTCTCTTCCAACATCGTTGGTGACCCTTGGGTTTACACTGGTCCTCCTCCTCCTCCTCCTCCTCCTCCTCCTCCTCCTCCTCCTCCTCCTCCTCCTCCTCCTCCTCCTCTTTTCACCCACCACAACTTAACATGAAAACTGCTCTCCTCTCCCCTGGCTCCGTCCGGAAGATGATCTGGCGTCTCCACGCATTGTTTTCGCACACCGGATTTGCAACAAAGGTGTTTTGTCTTATGTTCGTTGTGCAATCCGACTGTCTTCGGTGGTCCAGAATGGTGCTCCCGCTGCAGCACGGGACTCGTTTTCGGGTCGGTGCGCTGCTCCCGTCGTTCAAGATGGCGCCCTCGAGCCAGCGCGGGACACTTTTCTGGATACTTGTTGCATCGCTGTCGCCCCCCTCATTTCCACTCCTCCGCCTTCCCTGGGTCCTCCTCCTCCCGCTCCTTCCACTCTAGTTCCTGCTGCTGCTGTTCGTCCTCGTCCTCCTCCTTCCTCCTCCTCATTTTCCTCCTGCTCATCCTCCTGCTCATCCGCCACCTCCTCCGCAATGCACGCAGCTCCCCTTTCAAATTGCTCGTAACACGATGATGTCCCCTCTGGAGTCCCATGTCCGCTATGACACGCGTCGGCGGACAGAGGGAGACGACAGCGCAGTGGGAAGGCACGGGGTGGGAGGAGCAGGGACGTCTGCACGAGCGCGGGCGGAGCTGGCTTGTCCTCCTCCGCTCTCCCGCTTCGTCTCCCTGCTCCTCCCCCGCCTCATCCCCCCCCCCTCCCCTCTCCCCCTTCGTCCTACTCCTGCTCGTGCGTCGCCCCGCGGTGCGCTTCGCCGCTTGGGAGAGGGGGGGGGAGGCGCGGCCTTCTGCTTCGCCTGGTACTGCTTGCGGAGCCCCTCGATCTTCTCGATCCCGGCCTTGCCTGCCTCCACGGCGCGCTCCTTTCGGAAGAGGCGGAGGGGGGGGGGGGCAGGCGGGCGAGGGGGGAAGGGCGGCAGCAGCAGCGGGAAGAGGAGAAGTCAGGAGGAGGAGGAGGCAGCAGCTCGTGATGGAGGAAGAGGAGGCGGAGCAGGAGGAGGAGGAGAAGGAGGAGGAGAAGTGCTGAAATACACCCTCCCTCCAACATCCCTCTTCATAGGCACATGCAAGGGGTCATTTCCACTGAGGGAATTGCCCCGTTGGGGGGACTACCGTGTGAACATCTTGAAGCGTGCCAGAGCACCATGCTCTGGACATTTAACGCCACTAGGCAACCTGACTGTTACGTCTTGGCGTTCCTGAATCGCTCTAGAACACCATTCTTGGGTCTTCAACACAGCGAACCAGTGTAACTGTTGCGCATTGACAGTCCTGAACCGTTCCAAAACACCAAGTCTGGTACATGAACCATGAGAACCAGTGAAACTCTTGCAAACAAGTTTCAGGCGAATGAGCGCAGCGCTAAGGCGATACCCACATTTTGAAACCGGCCCTCAATCAGTCAAGCTCTTGCAACGTTGTAAAATGAATGTGTGCGGCGCTAAGCGAGAATCGCATTTTGAAAACGAGCCGCCTTCCATCTGTGAACCTCCTGCACATCTTTACAAACGAAAAATACGCGGCGCTAGGGCGAGAACCACATTTAGCAAACCAGCCGACCTTAATCCGTGAAGCTCCTGCAAAGTTTTACAACAAATGTGCGCGGCGCTGAGGCGAGAACCACATGTTGAAAACAACCCGCCCTCAACCCATTAAGCTCTTGCGAATGTTGAAAACCAATGTGCGCGGCGCGAAGGCGAGAACCACATTTTGAAAACGACCCGCCCTCAATCCGTGAAGCTCTTGCAACTTTGTACAACGCATGTGCGCGGCGCCAAGGCGAGAGCCACATATCGAAGACCACCCGCCCTTGATATCAGCGAAACTCTTGCACATGTTTGAAACCAATGGGCGCGGCGCTAGGGCGAGAGCCACAGTTTGGAAACCACCCCGACGACGAGGATGATGAGGAGGAGGATGCAAAGGAGGAGGAGGAGAAGGAAGAGGAGGAGGAGGAGGAAAACGAGGAGGAGGAGGAGGAGGAGGAGAAGAGGGTCGAGGAGGAGGAACGGGTCGAGGACGAGGAGGCGAAGCTGCTGTCAACTGTAAGCATCAGGGTCATACGTGGCGAAGACGTCTTGAGCGAAACGCCCGGGTCCGCCCTTTCGACCGGCCTCGGGGCGTGACGTGGAGAAACTGCACATAAGGACAAGGCACGGAGGAGGAGGAGGAAGAGAAGGAGGAGGAGGAGGGGGAGGAGGAAGAGGCGGAGGAGGGGGAGGAGGAAGAGGAGGAGGAGGAGGAGGAGGAGGAGGAGAAGGAAAAGGAGGAGGAGGCAGGAGGTCGAGGGGCGGCGACAGGAGCAGGAGGGGAGAGAGGAGGCGGGGAAGGGAGAAGAAGGTGGAAGCCTTCTTTCCCCAGCTGCACTATCCACAAGAAGGGATCGGAGAACGAAGAGGAAGAAGAAAAAACAATAATGAGAAGAGGAACGCGGAAGAGGGATGAGGAGGAAGAGAACGAGGAGGGGCAGGAAGAAGAGGAGAAGGAAGCGGGGTGCTCCTTCTCCTGCAGCACGTCCTGTTTCAGGGAGCCGGTGGCCTCGAGCTGCCTCTCCAGCACCGCCTCCATCTCCTTCTGGAGGTCTTCCCACTGCTCGGGCGTGGCACACCTCACCTTGA